GTCCAGACCTATACCTCCTAAGCCGATCTTACCATGATGCTCCTAAGCTTTTCCAGACCCAAACCCTAGGCCTTACAATAACAAACAAATAAAAAGAATCTATAGATATAAAATAAACAAAGATTACGAATAAAATAATTATTTGTACAGATCTAAACTTCTAAGCCTTCGCCACCAATGAGCCTCACAATATCCCTGTGGTCATGGCTGAGTCTTAACACACAGCGTCATTACTACCTATATTATGTCCAGTCACGGTTTTTCCAAAGAAAAATCGTGACACTACCCTTTAGTTGCATGAAATTAATGTGGGTTTATATACATTACAGTTTAGACTTTGCTACTATGATTATACCCTACAAGCAATATGACTATTTAGAGTATCAGAGGGAAGAATTCTATGACTAAAAGATAATGTCTCATATTCATAATAATTTACATAACTATGACTTTAGCTCCCAAAGTTTTAAACACTGAGGTGTCTTATTATTGTTCTCAATAAAGCATCGCTTTGAGCCAAATCCGAATTAGCATTATTAAATGCCTTCGTTTTTGTCGATCAATGCGCATTTATGATCCTGAGTCATATAGCTTAGATCACGTTTTCGGATGACTGCAGCCAGGCCATATTTCCCGTTATAACAGTCTCACTTGCAGCAGAGATTTGGTGGAAGATGATAATTTACTTGGTAAGTTATTGTAAAGCTTAACCTCCTGCGTTAATAATCCATTCCATATTCATGGAATTAGCAGTAAGTATAAACCAAACATAAAGATTTTAAAAAAATAAATAAATAGAAAAAAATACAAATAAAAAAGTCGACCGACTAATAGATACTCTGAAACACCAGTTAATGCAAAATGAAAAGCCACATGCGTCATCCAAGCCCTCAGATTTGTTTATGAGGCACGGTTCGTTATAGTTTTCGAAAACGTCAGTGACACTATACTACGCAATTTTTTTTTAATTCTGAAACTCCTTCATGAGAAATTAAAATTTTTTTCGTTTAAGGTTGATTGATTTGCTAATATTCATAAAATATTGAAGCCGTAGACAACTTTTTTCATTTTATTTTGCGTTACATTGACACGTTAGGTCTATGTTAAAAATAATTTACTGTTATCCTGTTACTCTTTAAAACGGGTTACTGTTTAAAAACAAAACCTTCTTCTTTTTTAATTGAATTACGATAATGATATTTGAGAAATCTTCTCCAAATATTGAAATTCCTGAGGCAAAAGCTAATTGATTTTCTAGACTTACTTTTGGGTGGGCCAACGATTTGATGAATTTAGGTTATAAACGTCCTTTAGAAAAAGATGATCTATACGTTTTGAATGACAAAAGAACTGCTAAAATTGTAACAGATAACTTTGAAGTCGAATGGCAAAAAGAAACTCAACAAATTGCGATGGGAAAAAAACCATCTTTATTAAAGGCTCTATACAGGGTTTTGTGGGCTAAATTTTGCTTGGCAGGCGTTTGTATATTTATTAATGACATATTAACAATTATTTCGCCTTTTATTTTAAGTGTATGTTTCACACTTGTATATTCACGTGATTAGTTATGACGCGTCTTGATTAAATTAATCTCTCTTCATATTCTTGATACTGTAGCTAATATTAAATTTTATTTCTGAGGCATACTTCGCCAACTTTAATAATGGTGTACAACCACCTACATATGTTGGCTACGTATTAATTGTTGTCTTTTTCTTAGTGCAAATGGGTGAAGTAATTACAATCAACTTTTACTTTTATTGTGGAATGGAAACCGGTATTCTCTCTCGCACTATTCTCATAACTGCTATCTATCGAAAAGCGTTAATTTTAAGTGGAAAAGCTAGGTGCTTATTTACTAGTGGAAAGATCACTAATCTAATGTCCACTGATACTACGCATATAGACGATTTATGCGCTTATTTTCACTATCTTTGGTCTGCCCCTTTTCAAATTTGTATGGCATTGGGTTTGTTAATATATAATATTGGTCTATCTGCACTAGCTGGCTTTGCTTTATTAGTTATGGTGGGTTTTATACAAGGAAATGTTGTGCCGTTATTGACACGTATTAGAGCTAAAGCTTCTGGTGTTACTGATGAACGAGTAAAATTAACTCAAGAGATTTTACTAGGAATTAGAGTTATTAAATATTATGCTTGGGAAGATAGTTTTGCAGCTGCCCTTAATAAATTAAGAAATAAAGAAATTGGTTTTATTAGGTCTTTACTAGTTATTAGATCTATTATTATTGGTGCTTCAATGGTAATTTTTCTTATAATTATTTATATTTAGTTATATTTTATTTTGGCTTTATTTTATTTCTTGTTTGTATTCAATTCTTTTTAGGTTGCCCCCGTATTTGCTAGTGCCCTATCATTTATAACATTCTCATTAACAGGAGGTAGCCTCGACGTCGGGATCATATTCTCTTCTTTAGCATTATTAAATGTTCTCCAATCGCCCTTAATGTGCTTACCAACGGCTATATCTTTTGCAACTGATGCCATGTATCATTTAATCGGATAAATGAGTTTTTGCAAGCTGATGAATTATCTGTTTTACCGGAAATCAATCCGAATGAACAATATGCTATTAAAGTTACTGATGGTGAATTTATTTGGGAAAGTTCTCCACTAGAAGAAATTATCGATAAGTCGAAAAAAAGAAAAGAAAATAAGTCAAAAAATTATAATAAAACTGATAAAAATGAAAATGTTTCTTCAATTATTGTTGATTATGAAAAGGCTCCAGCTTCGGTTGATGATGTTTTTGACGACTCTGCAGCTCTGATTCCTGCCGAAAAGGTTGAAAATTCCCATCAACTTTCTCCAAAATCTCATCTTCATAATATTAATATTTCAATACCTCGTGGAAAGTTAATTGCCATTGTTGGTTCCGTAGGGTCTGGTAAATCTTCACTATTGTCTGCTCTGGTTGGTGAAATGAAAAGAATTAAAGGGGAGGTTATATTTGGTGGAAATGTTGGGTATTGTCCTCAAACTGCGTGGATTCAAAATGCTACAATCAGGGACAATATTACTTTTGGATTACCTTTTGATGAAGAGAAATATCAACGAGTGATTAAAGATTGTTGTCTAAAACCAGATTTAAATTTATTACCTGCTGGTGATTTGACTGAAATTGGGGAAAAAGGAATTAATTTATCTGGGGGGTATGTTATTATTTTATTACTGCGTTTTTCAAATTACAGTGATCAGCAAACTGCCTGCTAATGGGAATCTGAGAATCGTAAACTTTTAAATTAGAATAGTCTATTAGTAATCAATTTTCGTCTTGAACGAAAAAAATCTCAATAGCTGGCTGGTTAATTTATATTTTTAAAATTTTTTGCTTTGATTCTTTCAGACAAAAACAACGTGTCAACATCGCAAGAGCGGTATATTATGACGCTGATATTGTGTTATTTGATGATCCATTATCAGCAGTTGACGCGCATGTTGGAAGGCAATAATCACACAGTGTATTAACGGTGCACTTGCTAAAAAAACGCGTTTACTTGTCACGCATCATTTACATTATTTATCACAAGTCGACTACATACTATGGATGGAAGATCGCTGAGCAAGGAACTTATAAGGAATTAATGAAAAATGGGCAAACTTTTTCGAAATTTATTGCTGAGTATGGTGAAGCCGAAAATGCTGATGAAATAAAAAAAGACGAGGAATTAACATTGAACGAAAAAGAAAGTAAAAAAGTTCGGACAACAGTATTGCTTAAAGGATTAATGTCAACGGAAGAACAATACAGAGGGGCAGTGAATAATGAGATTTATTTGGCATATATTAGGAATGCAGGTGGGCTGTTAGCGACATTCTTCATTGTTTTTTTGCTTGTTATGGTACAAGGAACAAATATTGGGTATGGTTTTTTCCATATTAATACCTTAATACCATTTTAAATTACTTATACAATTGAGGAAATCGCCAAGCTTACAGCTCTATTGTTTTTTTTTAGGAATAATTTATGGCTTGCGTTCTGGTCTAGCAACATGTTTGACATTCCATTAGGATTTTATGTATATATTTTTAAATCTCAAATTACAGCATAAACAGACATAACAAATAATTATATTATTTCATGCCAATTTACATTAATAGATAGGTGTTTATTGTGCATGGGAGGTCGCTCAAGGGGTTTTTATTACTTTGTGTGGTGTCGCATTTTCCTACATCAGTATCAAAGCAGCTAAGAGATTGCATAATAACGCAATTAAACGCATATTAATAGCGCCAATAAGTTTTTTTGATACCACTCCTTTAGGAAGAATTATTAATCGGTAATTAACATTTCTAACTTATTGTTAAGCTTCTTATTTTCTAATCCAAATATATTTAATAATTAGATTCAGTACAGATGTTGACACATGCGAAAGCTTACTTTCCGGGGCGTGTCTAATATTTTTTATGACTTTTGCAAGCACTATTGGAACATTTATTCTATTTTCAGTGGTATTTGTGTGGTTCATTATCCCATTGGTTCCTTTGATTTTGCTTTACTATTTAGTGGCTGTTTATTGTCGGGCATCTTTGCGCGAATTAAAGCGTAATTAATCCTTATTACCATTGTCCAATAATAAATTATATATGTGGTTGGTGCCAAAACGGGACGAAATTGACAAAAAAAACTTTTCATAAAAAACCAATTATCTCGTCAATTATCTATCAGAATTACATAATTTTGGCACCATTCGATTCGTCTCGATGAGATGAATCTTAAGATGCCAAAAACATATAATTTTGATCGAGATAATTGATTTTTTTGTAAAGAATTTTTTTTTTGTCAACTTCGTCCCATTTACTAGCACCAACCCATATATATAAATTTAAATTTAAAAAACTTTTACTACTACTTTTTCTATATTACAGGCCTTGATTCAGTATTAAAATCTTCGCTATATGCTCATTTTTCCGAAACACTTTTGGGACTTCCGACTATTCGCGCTTATCGTGAACAAGGAAGATTTTTGAGGTTTTTAAAATTTGCTGCTTTATTATTAAAGATATAATTTTCTTAATATTCAATAATATTTCCTTTTCATTTAATCAAAAAAATAAAATAGAAATAACGAAGCGTTCTTAGATATCGAAAATAGAGCCTACTTTCTCATTATGTGTGTCCAACGATGGCTTTCAATTCGTATTGGAATTATCACAAATATCTTAATATTTTTTGCAAGTTTGTTTGCAATAATTTTTAGATTTAATATTGTCCCTTCAATTACTGGATTAGCATTGGCTTATGCACTTCAAGTTACTTTAAATTTTATTTTGTGTGTTAAACAATTTACCGAATTGGTGAGTAAATAATAATATTTTATTAACACCTTCACGGAATATGCTGATTTATCAACTTTAGAACTACTTTAAAGTAACTATAAATATCCTTAAAGTTACTATATTGTATGTTAACAGTACGCTATTACTATTTTTTATTAAAACTTTCTAATTTTTTAAGTTATACTGTAGTACAGTTTTTATATACTGTAAATTCTTTAAAGTTACTATACAATAACAATACATCTACTATTTAATTTCATAATTTTCAGTAAAGGTACTTTAAAATACTAATTGTTTCGTTGTCAAATAATAGGAAACATATATGAACTCAGTAGAACGTTTAATTCATTATAGCGACAAATTAGAAGTAGAAGCCGAGAATATAATACCGGACAACAGATCACCACCTGGATGGCCAGCTCGTGGAGAAATTCATATCAAAAATTTAGAAATTAAGTATGGACCTGATAGCCCTCTAGTTTTGAAAGGCATCTCAGTTGATATTATGGCTGCTGAAAAGATTGGAATTGTTGGTCGAACTGGTAAATTTTAGACTTCAGTTTGAAAATTATAAATTATTTGAAATTTCGAATATTGACTTTTCTTAAACAAGAGGACGCGGAAAATCAACGTTGGCAATGTCATTCTTTAGAATTATTGAACCAACTTCTGGTAGTATTTTAATTGACGATGTCGATATCAGTACTATTGGATTAAGAGATCTTAGAAGTAATATTACTATAATACCTCAGGATCCAGTACTATTTAATGGTACTATAAGGTAAACAAAAATCTTGAGTCCACATACTGCATTTATAATTAAAACTTTTCTGCAAACTGATTATTGAATCTATTTAAAAAAATAGAAGTAACTTGGATCCATTCAACGGGCATAGCGATCCCGAGTTATGGGACGCACTTCATCGTGTACACTTAACTAAAATTTCCAGCCTTACTCATGAAAAACAATCGAAAGTTATCCTTTCTATTTCGGACCAAAAAAATAACAAACAAGAACCAATAATGCTTGACTCGCCTGTCAAAGAAAACGGATCAAAATTTTCCCAAGGTCAGCAACAACTGATTGCAATGGCCAGAGCATTAATTCGTCATTCCAAATTGATAATAATGGATGAAGCTACTGCGAGTATAGATTTCAAAACTGATCATTTAATACAGGCTACAATTAGAGAAGAGTTCAAGAATAGTACTGTCATTACTATTGCACATAGGTTGCGAACCGTCATAGACTATGATCGAATACTGGTTATGGGTATGTACTTTCAAAAAAATAACTTTAATGATTTTGAAATATTAATTCATTCTATCAAAATTAGATGCTGGAAATATAGTTGAATTCGATATTCCATACTTACTAATGCAAAAATCTGATGGATTATTTAGAGGAATGTGTGAGAGAAGTGGTGAGTTTGCGGAATTAATTGAAATTGCTAAGCAGAAATATGAGAGTATATTGTCGAGGAATTGGCACAGTTACTAAATACAATTGAGTAGCAGATTTATATATAAAAATAATTTTAGACATACTAAAATACACTAAAATACTACTTACTATAAACTTGCTGTTTATTCTCAATAAAGACCAGCATACTATTTTATTAAAAAGAATAAGTTTTTAAATAAACGGTCTTTTATATAAGTATCGTTAAGAAAAACTGGAAATTCTAAAAATAGATTTTTATTAAATTCCTAATTATTGCTCAATCAGATGACTTTATTAAAAAACATATGGGAAATACGTTTGCTATCATTTACAGGATCAAAGCTCCATGCTACGGCTCTAACTTCTTATAAACATTACTAGTCAAACTAACCAGCCTGGCCCAACAAACATAGAATATACATATATAGTGTACTGTACGGAAGATAATTTAATACTGTATTTTATTATATTTTGAAATGATACGATACAGTACGAATATACATATATATAGATAATTTCGTACTGGATTGTATAGAATGCGAAGTAAAGATCAATACAGTATGTATAGAGATGTGCGAATGCACATAATGCAGCATGCGATATTATGCAATCATGGTGTTATACCAAAATCAAGAAGCAAGATTCATATCCGATCTTTCTCATCTCTAGACAGAAGTTTACTATTCATGGTATTTTTAAACCTCAAATTAGTTAGCCTGCTTATACAAGTATGAAATCACTAACTGATGCTACATATCACTTAGTATTACATATGATATAAAATATATTTTATTATTTTTGTTGCATTAAAATTATATAGTAATTTCTATGTGCACTTTTAAATTTTAAAATGTCTACATTACATTATGCG